TTTATATTACATTAGACAATGGAAGTCCGAACTGATAAAAGACGCCCTTTAGACAATTCACTTATAAACAAAATCAAGATTGTCAAACCCATTCAAAAATTATCAGATGAAAACAATCACTGTGAAAATGAAACTGTACATACTTTGTTCTGACTTCCACAAAAGGGATTTGAATATGCCAACCATTTCATACAAATAGAATCTTTTGAATATCAGCATTTTCTCGTATTTTCATATTTCTGCCAGTAGTTATCTTCTGTTCTAATTTCATGTTCCTTTTTATTGAGAACCCGAAGAAAAAATTGTTATAAGTTTCAGCCCTTCTTCAACAGGTTTTTCCTCAATATCAATGTCTGGCGGATCGTTATTGCAAAAAAAATTAAATTATATTGAGTTCGGTTCCGCAACCCACATTAAAAAGCATATCCACCATGTGTGTACAACAGTCACTAGCCGCCCCAAGAGAGCCATGCAATAAAGATCGGCTCTTTTGATTTTGTTTAATTGAATCAAAACTGAGGAAAGAAAGAGGCCGCTGTTTATTTTAGCTCCTCTTCGCCTGTATTGTTAGGAAATTTCACCTGTGCTGTGGTAGCACACGGATTATATTTCTTATTTGATTCGGTAAGTTATCACAAAGGGAAATAATTATTTAGGTGTACCTACTTATTGTATTACTCGAGCCGCTGCGTGTTGTTTATTTACCGAAAGATTCTAAAAGTGTGTGCCTAACATGGATAACTGAGATAGAAAAATAATACGTGTTTTCCTGAATCTCGTGGTCATATTTTCGGCAAAGATCAAAGGTGGGCATGTAAGCGGTAAGTGATATACAGGATGTCCTAGTCGATACGTGGACTAACGCAATAACGAAAAAATGTTTCTTCTGTCAAAAGCTCCTAATACATGACAGTCTAATCTGTTGTTTGAAGAGTTTTGTCCATTTTTATAAGCCTACTCTGAACTTGTAATATCTCAGTAAATATGACCATAATCCGTTTCATAATGATATCCATTATGATATAGATTTTTCATAACGATACAGATTATCAACCAATAGAAACCCATAATTTTTCAATTCGCCATCCTTTCATGGGTGTCTTCAATCTTAGAGAAAAACCCGCAGAGGACCAAATCTGGTTAATACGGTGGCTTCCATAGAACTCCGAAGAATTTTCCAGCGCCTTCGATTGCCAAATATAAGCGCCATCCACTCGCCCATCGACACAGTCAAGTGGGAGTTACAGTGCGGCACGCGGAGCGATCTAATAAGGCGAGAGACATTCGAATAATAGTTGAAGTTTCAGTTAAAGTGTTTTGTTGTGAATATTACTGGAGTTTTTTCCCAACACCAAACCGTTATTTTAACGTTTTAACGATTATCACCAAGTGATAATCTTCAAGAGGAATTGAAAGTGAAATAAAGTTGAGTTTGATTATTGTTCGGTGTAGTCACGGGAAATTATGTAGTAACATTTGGTGTCAGAAGTGGGATAAATTGGTTCCCCTTTTTCTGTTAGCATTCAGGAGCTCTCAACATGATATGACAAGTTACACACCATCCATGTTGGTGGATATGGTGGTTTACGACTTTCTCCATGATGTTTGACATCACTGGTAGCAAAGCCACTGGTCTATAGTTATTTGTAAAATTTGCTTGCCCTTTCCAACAACAAGCAAAAAAATTTTTCTTGTTAAACATCATCGAGAATTATATGAATGTGAAAAGAGAAAAGAAATCTTCAAAAACTACGTTAAAATGTGTAATCTCTCCAACTTTGTGCATATTGAATTCTATTCTGCATAAGAAATGATTACCACGATTTAATATACAAGAAACCTTGTGAATGAAAACCTTCTACGCCTTGGTTGTATTTACAGCGAATATTTTTTTTATTTCAGTGCTGAAATAACTAGAAATCAAAAACTTATTGGATAAAATACTCTTCAAGCTTCGTCAAATTCGCACACATCAAAGAATACGTCAAAAAGTTTGTTGTGATAGGTTGCAATAACATGATAAAATAAACAAATTGCACTGCACCAGTTCAAAGTGTGAAATATAAATATTTAGAAAAGTATCTAATCGAAGGTGCTCAAAAAACTATACTTAACATAGTTTTGAGCATATGTTATATCCGGCCATTTGAATTGACAGAGAGGTAACGAAATTAATTTTTAGGGGTTACTATTCATTTATGCCTCCAGAATCATATCAAGCCGTAACATTTATGACATCTCAACAAATGAAAATCAATCAAATGCATGATTGCAATGACTATACTATATATTTAAAATCCATTCAGTGAGTTTATACATAAAAAATTTACAAATTTTGTTATTTAATGGTTATTTTTGAAAATTTGATGAAATTCTTCTTCTCAAATGAACGGAAGAACTGGAAATCTTGACATAGAATTAATCCGACACCAATACTGTTCCTCTCACACTAGAAGTGCAACTTTTTTCATGTCAAGCATTTCACCAACCGATTTGGCGTTGTCAGAAAAATAGGCTACACTGTCTTATAGAGTTATTCGTCTTACTGATGAAGCCGGTTGGAATAAACGTTGTAGTATATGTTGGATAATGACATCCATTGCGCTTTTGGTAAATATTCGTTTTGAGGACACTCGGCGATTTTGAAAAAATGTTTGAGTGTACTTACGTATTTTGATGCGTAGATTACAAATCCGAAAGAAAAAAGCGGCGCTCCCCCTTATTTATAAAGTTACGGCCCTTCAATGTTCAGAAAATGTCAACTTTTCAGTCTTCTTTTTCATAAGATAAACTATTTAAAAACACAAGCATTTATTCACTAGGTCACCTTTACACCTTATTCCTCCTTCCTTGACACTTTTCACTTCAACCATCAACATTTTTTTAATAAAAATGTTAAAAAATGTACGCAGCCGCTTTTTAGTTATATGTCTGTATTTTACGTTTTTAAGGTTAATGGCATAATTGGTACGACTGATGCTGTCAATATTCCTAAAGTAATTCAAATGTTTTTTGCCTTCCTTCTTTAGATCGTAAATTGGTTTTTGGTGGTGTATCAACGAATTTGAAATAGTAGGCGACGGCAAATACCAACCGCTTTTTTCTGAAATGTCACTAGTAACTAACCTAGAAATAAAAGAATGTCACCAGAAGAAGCATTCGTTTTTAAATTAAATTTTTTGCAAGAAAAATGTTGATTGTTGAATTGAAAAGTGTCAAGGAAGGAGGAAAAAGTTGTAAAGGTGACCTAGTGAATAAATGTTTGTGTTTTTAAATAGTTTATCTTGTGAAAAAGAAGGCTGAAAAGTTGCCCTTTTCTGAAATTTGAAGGGCCGTAACTTTGTAAATAAGGGAGAGCGCCGCTTTTTTCTTCGGATTCGTAATCTACGCATCAAAATTCGTAATTACATTCAAATTTTTTTCAAAATCGCCTGGTGCCCTCAAAACGAATATTTACCCAGAACAATTTCAGATAACTATCAAATACACTTCTATGCCTCAGAACACGAAAATCAAACATAGGCAAATAATATCAAAGTGAACCGGCAGATGTACCATCGAAAATAATTACTCCTGAATCAAGATAAAAAAGTACTCCATCATGTTTTTCATCTGGCTGTCAAACAATCAAATGAAGAAATTTACCCACGACAATTAATCATTTTGACAAATATCCCCCTCCGCCCCCCTAACAACGCGCTCGAGCCGCTAACTAACCTGCCTAAAATAGCTTGTTTGGTTTTTTCGAACGATTCGGTCCACCGAGGAGCTTGTAAAGCTTAATTTAAATAGTCGCGTGAACTCGGAAATCTCCGCCAAGCTCTCGGCATAACAACATTCCAAACCGCGTTCGTCTACCTACCCAGTTGGAACAACTTTGAAAAGTTATTCTGTCGGAGATCGTTCCAGAAGACAGACGTACGCGCGCGGTTCTCACGTCACAATGTTTTTGTTATTGTTATTCACCTTTTCCTGGGGTGTCTCGATTTCGGAGCCCCTAATGCGCACTTGTGAGCCGATACGAGTGGAAATGTGTATGATGTGGTACAACATGACGGGCATGCCTAACTTAGGCGGTAATGACATTCAAAAAGAAGCCGATCTCCAGTTGCAGTCGTTCTCTCCTCTGATCCAGTACGGCTGCAGCCAGAATTTGAAGCTGTTCCTATGTTCCGTCTACGTGCCCATGTGTACAGAACAAGTGACGAATCCAATCGGGCCTTGTAGAGGGCTCTGCGAGGGTGTTAGATCGAGATGTTTCCCCGTTCTGCAGGGGTTCGGTTTCACGTGGCCAGATGCCCTGAACTGCTCCAGATTTCCCGAAACTAATAATCAGGAACACATGTGCATCGAAGGGCCTAAAGATGAAATTGATATTAGGGCTCCTGTCGATCCAGCCGTGCAGAAATTTGATTGCGACCCTCGACATATGAAGGACGGAGAGAGGTGTTTGAATGGCTGTCACTCAAATGTCCTTTTCGACGAATCTGAAAAGAAATTTGCAGAGGTGAGCTAAGACAAAACTTATAATGAAAGTGTAGATAGATAATAGATAATAATGGCATTTCAACACGCTGCCTGAAAAAGAAATAAAAAAAAGAGTACCCAGTTACAGGAAATGCAATTATTACAGAGTATAGTGAAATAAATATTAAAAATAATAGAATGCTAAATGCTAAAACGAAGTATATTTATTGTAGCAGTACTGACCTGTGTTTTCATCTCAAGTTTGTCACACAGTATATGAACAATATTTAGAGTATAGGAGCCAGAGGATTGACATTTGGTCTTGGGTCTGGTTATGTTTACATTACAAATGAAAAGTTTCAATTTAGACTTGAAATTTAGTCTACAAAGAAGGAAAAAACTGAAAAGGTCAGGTATTTTTCTACAGTTATCTTTCAAAACAATCTAAAAATCTGATCTGGGTTCTCAAAATTAACAGTTTCAAAAAAATCCACAGAACTTACGTATGAAACGTAATTTTTGATGAATTGTAAAGGTGGATATTGAAAAACTATTCAAAAAAATGTTTCAATGTCTTTCATTCAATTATGACTGCAGCAAGAAGAAATTTCAACGTTTTTGAGAATTCATTTCAAGTTCAAATGCAATGTTTGACCTACCTGGTTTGTTGATTGGTTTGATATGTAGTATATTTGAACAATTTCGGGAAATTGACAGATGATTGTGTCTCATATTTGGATAGTTTTTCCATTCATAAATGAAGATCATCAATTCAAAAAGGGTGTTCAACTAATTCGTCAATGTCACTTGGAACCGACAAGAGGAAAAGATGCCAAATTTCTTGTGAAACTCACTGAAACTAAATATCGAAAAGATTTGACATTTATCAAAAATTGTATGAACTTCTCATAACATTTTTCTCCGAAGTCGTTTACACGACTAAGCTCAACGTTATCTCTTGAATTGAATCAGCAGATAGTAATCTCAGATCACGACTTTCAATCAAGAATATGTACCTAAAAATACATCGAGTAAACGTCTAAGAATCTAAGGCGGCTAACAAGACGCATTGATGCGTTATGTCGATATAAATGAATCCAAACGGAATTTCATGGAAATTAGACTCAGTTGTGTTTAGGTTTATTCCAGTGAGAGAAGCAAGTTCCAAAAGTTAATGCAAATAGAAAATTTGGTGGCATTTTTCGCGATAGGATCAGTTGTTGGTAAATCAATGTATCGGAAAAGATCATCAATGGTACTTTACCTATGAGAAAATTGAAGATCCACAAAGACAGACGATCTGGCAAGCCATCAATGTTCAATCAGTAAACCCTTGATAGTTAGGGTGTGACCATTATGTATTTGACATTCTGGTCAAACCACCTTGTACTTTAATCGAAGGTTTCTGGTTGTTTCGCCATACAATACCTTCTTTAAGCGTGCCTAAACATATGTATAGCTTCTTTAGGCGTATCTCTACATAGCTTGTTGATGCATCTCTTTACGTATGTATAGCTTCTTGAGGCGTGTACATATATGTGTATAGCTTCTTTAGGCGTGTCTATACATGTGTATAGCTTATTGAGACGTATTTATTCATGATATTTTCACCAGTTTCACTAAGACGCGACACGTGTTTCGCAATACAATGGCTTTTTCAGGCGTGTCTATACATAAGTATATCTTCTTCAGGCATGTCTATATATCTGAATAGCTTCTTCAGACGTGTCTTCAATATAACTTTTTTAGACGTGTTTCTATATATGTATAGCTTCTTGAGGCATGTCTATACATGTGTTTAGCTTATTGAGGCGTTTCTGTCTATACATGTATATAGCTTCTTGAGGCGTGTCTATACATATATATAGTTTCTTGAGACGTGTCTATACAAATGTATAACTTGTTGATGAGTGTCTACACATATGTGTAGCTTCTTCATACGTATTTATTCATAAGATTTTCACCAGTTTCACAAAAACGACGCACGTGTTTCGCAATACAATGGCTATTTCAGGCGTGTCTATACATATGTATAGATTCTTCAGGCATGTCTATACATCTGAATAGGTTCTTCAGACGAGTGAGTCTATACATACGTATAGCTTGTTGAGGCGTGTCTATACGAATGTATATCTTCTTCAGGCGTGTCACCACTTTAACAAAAACGCGACACGTGTTTCGCAATACAATGTATTTTTCAGGCGTGTCTATACATCTGAATAGCTTCTTCAGGCGTGTCTATCTATAGCTTCTTGATGCGTGTCTATACATGTGTATAGCTCCTTGAGGCGTGTATATACATATTTATAGCTTCTTGAGGCGTGTCTATACATATATTTAGCTTCTTGTAGCGTATCTATACACATTTATAGCTTGTTGAGGCGTGTCTATACACATGTATAGCTTCTTTAGGCGTGTCTATATATCTGAATAGATTCTTCATTCGTGCCTATATATCTGAATAGCTTCTTCAGGTGATGTTTAGCTTCTTCAGACGTATTTATTCATAAGATTTTCACCAGTTTCACAAAAACGCGACTCGTGTTTCGCAATACAATTTCTTTTTCAGGCGTGTCTATACACATGTATAGCTTCTTCAGGCGTGTTTATACATCTGAATAGCTTCTTCAGGCGTGTCTTCGTATAGCTTTTTGAGGCGTGTCTATACATGTGTTTAGCTTCTTGTGGCGTGTCTATACACATGTATAGCTTCTTCAGGCTTGTCTATATATCTGAATAGATTCTTCATTCGTGTCTATATATCTGAATAGCTTCTTCATTCGTGTCTATATATCTGAATAGCTTCTTCAGGTGATGTTTAGCTTCTTCAGACGTATTTATTCATGAGATTTTCACCAGTTTCACAAAAACGCGACACGTGTTTCACAATACAATGCCTTTTTCGGGCGTGTCTATACATATGTATAGCTTCTTCAGGCGTGTCTATACATCTGAATAACTTCTTCGGACATGTCTATACATATATATATCTTCTTTAGAATATATGTATAGCTTCTTGAGGCGTGTCTATACATGTGTTTAGCTTATTGAGGCGTTTCTGTCTATACATGTATATAGCTTCTTGAGGCGTGTCTATACATGTATATAGTTTCTCGAGACGTGTGTATACAAATGTATAACTTGTTGGTGAGTGTATATACATATGTGTAGCTTCTTCATACGTATTTATTCATAAGATTTTCACCAGTTTCACAAAAACGACGCACGTGTTTCGCAATACAATGGCTTTTTCAGGCGTGTCTATACATATGTATAGCTTCTTCAGGCATGTCTATACATCTAAATAGGTTCTTCAGACGAGTCTATACATACGTATAGCTTTTTTAGACGTGTTTATATATTTGTATAGCTTCTTGAGGCGTGTCTATAGACAAATTTAGCTTCTTGTGGCGTTTCTATACATGTTTATAGCTTGTTGAGGCGTGTTTATACATCTGAATAGCTTCTGCAGTCGTGTCTATGTATAGCTTTTTGAGGCGTGTCTATACATGTGTTTAGCTTCTTGTGGCGTGTCTATACATATTTATAGCTTGTTGAGGCGTGTCTATACACATGTATAGCTTCTTCAGGCGTGTCTACATATCTGAATAGCTTCTTTATTCGTGTCTATATATCTGAATAGCTTCTTCAGGTGATTTTTAGCTTCTCCAGACGTATTTATTCATGAGAATTTCACCAGTTTCACGAAAACGCGACACGTGTTTCACAGTACAATGTCTTTTTCAGGCGTGTCTATACATATGTATAGCTTCTTCGGGCGTGTCTATACATCGGAATAGCTTCTTTAGGCGTGTCTATGTATAGCTTTATGAGGCGTGTCTATACATGCGTTTAGCTTCTTGTGGTGTGTCTATACATATTTATAGCTTGTTGAGGCGTGTCTATACACATGTATAGCTTCTGTTGGTGAGTGTATATACATATGTGTAGCTTCTTCAGACGTATTTATTCATGAGATTTTCACCAGTTTCACAAAAACGCGACACGTGTTTCACAATACAATGCCTTTTTCGGGCGTGTCTATACATATGTATAGCTTCTTCAGGCGTGTCTATACATCTGAATAACTTCTTCGGACATGTCTATACATATATATATCTTCTTTAGACGTGTTTTTACATATCTATAGCTTGTTGAGGCGTCTCTATACATATGTATAGCTTCTTCAGGCGTGTCTATATATCTGAATAGCTTCTTCATTCGTGCCTATATATCTGAATGGCTTCTTCAGGTGATGTTTAGCTTCTTCAGACGTATTTATTCATGAGATTTTCACCAGTTTCACAAAAACGCGACACGTGTTTCACAATACAATGTCTTTTTCAGGCGTGTCTATACATATGTATAGCTTCTTCAGGCGTGTCTATACATCTGAATAACTTCTTCGGACATGTCTATACATATATATATCTTCTTTAGACGTGTTTTTACATATCTATAGCTTGTTGAGGCGTCTCTATACATATGTATAGCTTCTTCAGGCGTGTCTATATATCTGAATAACTTCTTCATATCTGAATAGCTTCTTCAGGCGTGTATACACATATGTATAGCTACTTCAAGCGTGTCTATACATATATTTAGGGTGTAACTATTAGGTATTTGACTTTCTGGTATAACCACCTTGTACGTTAATCGAAGGTTTCTGGTTTCTGGGTCCTCGAAGGTCCAGGAGCTTCTTCGAAACTATTGGCTCCTCTTAGACTTAGGCTATATTGGGTCATCATTTAACATGCCTAAATATTCTGATTGGTATGAATAATTCAATTGAACCAACGAAGATTTTCCCAAATTATTAGCGACTTACCTCTACAAAATTGTCAGTCATTCATAATCTGGGAAGCATTCAAACGCAATTCAGTATGTTGATTCACTTTTAATTGATGCAATACAATATAATTCAAATTATTTATAATTCAAGTGATTTCATTGAAGTTATCAAGTATCACCACCTTAATTTTTTTTGTCGATTTTCAATTATTTGTCGGGTAGATAGCTTTGAAGATGGCGATTGATTGATAAGTCAGAATGTTTATGAGCTACAATAGAAGGTTAGTGAGTGCCATAGGAAAATACCATCATGCTGGCACCAATTCAATTACTGTCTAACTACAAACTCATTAACTACCCTCATCGTTTCCCAGTTTGATTTTTTTATTCTATTCGTTCCGGTCTGGCATTGCCACACAAAATATTTTGACAGCTTGTTTGGAATGTTTGTTTAGTTCAGCCTACAACAATATTATGAATGTTTATAAACGCACACACTGCTTCCTTTATATCGTTTATTTTTCTTTCGAGATCCGAATGAAATACACTCGCGAATCATTGAAACCACATGGGATGACTAATGTTTTACGTATAACCCTGCTATATACAGGGTGTAACTAAATAAGTGTAAAACATTAAAGGAGGTGATTCCTTATCGAAAAAAAGATAGGATCTTTCATATAAAGAAATTTCATTGGAGCATCCCTTTTTAAGATACATACATAAAATTTGTGTGCATAAAATTTGTATAACAATTTTTTTCACAGGCACTAAAAAAGTTACAATATTGAAACCAACCTGTCGTTTTGTACTACCAAAAAGTCACGCTTCGAATTTTTTATTCGTTTGTAGCTTTCACAAATCACTTAACAAAGCTACTGTGCTAGCGAAACATGTGATATATTTTTCAAATAAAGTTTGTGGGGATCAAATCATCAGGTGTAGTTTTTGAAATTACTATGGATCTTCATCAAGTAACGACCGAATCAAACAGAAAAATAATATTGTTAATCTTCAAATCAATTCTATACACAGTCTCTTATGAGAGGCTTAAATTTTATTGAATTTTCCCTTAGATTTCCACTCTTTTATTTCAGCAGATAGTTTCAAACCGTCCTTTCAATGTATCTCATTCAATATTTTTGTTGCAAGGAACTGCCACTCCATTTACATTCACTGGGAAAGTTATTCCTCTCGTTATACCATAACTGTATGTTTATAAAAACAAAATTACTCGAATAAAAAAACCGGCACTGCTTTAAATTCATCGGTCGTAAAGATTAACATTTTATTAACGCTATGCAATGTTAATAGTAATAAGGTACTTCGTAAATGATTCTAGCGGGAGCCACATCTAGTTTTCTACTTTTCTCCAAGGCTATAATTTTCTGAACCAACAGGTAAACCGGCTAATATTTTTGTTTTATTGGTTTAGGAGTCAGTTTTATTGCCCATCTATCAATTTACTGAAAGTTAAACGTTTATAGAGATAAATGATAAGGATGGGTTCCGATTACCTACCTGAAAGAAACAGAAATATATTTTACGTGAATGATTTGAGTCGGAAAATAAGGATGAATTTAAACAAGTTGCCAGGGTTTGATTTATTGAAATTTATGTAAATGTTTATATATGTTTGGTTTTTTATTTTGAAAGAGTTTCCTGGAATTCCAACACCATAATTTGAATGGGATTACACTCTGTAGAATGAAAGGGCCCAATATATGTGTTATGTACGTATGCTTGGTTGTGTGAAAGAATGCGGTATTTTTTTGAAATGCCTACTAAGTCTGCCTACTAAGCCTTTCAAATAAAATGTACCTCATGACGATGACCAATTTTCGCCATTTCCACAAATTCACCGAAAACCTTGGCTATTGATGGCTGCCAAACAAATACTAAACAACGCAGCGTCTTCAAACTTGAAACATATGCTTTATAGGTTCTGTACTTTCTAATACAGTGATATTTCTCAAACAACTACAGCCACCTCTAGGTCAGGCAGAGTACTTCAGTACTTTGTTTGCTTAACTCCGCCAAGTAAAATAAAGGCCATTTATTATTATTATTACTATTTTGCTTTGATTTTTCTAGGTATGGGTCACCGTTTGGGCTCTAATCTGTCTCGTCATGAGCTTGGGTTCAGTGTTGACCATGCTCATAGGAGGTGGTCGTGTGAAAGCCCGTCCTCTGATCAGCCTTGCTTTTTGCTACGTCTTGGTCAGCATAGGCTGGGCGTTGAGGATGTTTGCAGGAAGAACGTCGAGTTCATGTCACAAATCACCTGAAGATGGATTGTCGAATGTCAACTGCGCCTTTGTGTTCCTGCTTTTGTACTATTTTGGAATGGCTGCTAATGCCTGGTGAGTACTTCATTATTTGGATTAGATAATAACGGAAATGCTGACAAAGTTCATGTATCGTCTTCAACTATGAAATGTTGAATATAAAGTAAAGAAGGTGCATCTACATATTACATTTTTTCGAAACGTTATTGAACAGTTCAAGAAATCGCTTAAAAAATGAAAAAAGTTACAGAAGAGATTGGTTAAAGAAAACTCAAACACAATCATCGGATAAGACGTGGGAAAATACACAGGCGTGTCTATCCATATGTATGACTTCTTCAGGTATGTCTATACATCTGAATAGATTCTTTAGGCGTGTCTATACATACGTATAGCTTCTTTAGACGTGCCTCTACATATGTATAGCTTCTTGAGGTGTGTCTATACATATGAATAGCTTCTTGAGGTGTGTATATACATATTTATAGCTTGTTGAGACGTGTATATACATATTTATAGCTTCTTCAGGCGTGTCTATATCTGAAGAGCTTCTTAGGCGTGTCTATACATGTGTATAGCCTCTTGAGGCGTGTCTATACAGATGTATAGCTTCTTGAGGCATGTCTACATATGTATGACTTGTTGAGGAGTGTCTATACGTTTGCATAGCTTTTTCAGGCGTATCTATTCATGAGGTTTTCATCATTTTTTACAAAAACGCGACACGTCTTTCGCCATATGATGTTTTTTTTTCAGGCGTGTTTATCCATATGTATGGCTTCCTCAGGTATGTATATACATCTGAATAGCTTCTTTAGGCGTGTTTATACATACGTATAGCTTCTTTAGACGTGCCTCTACATATGTATAGCTTCTTGAGGTGTGTCTATACATGTGAATAGCTTCTTGAGGTGTGTATATACATATTTCTAGCTTGTTGAGGCGTGTCTATACATATGTATAGCTTCTTCAGGCGTGTCTATATCTGAAGAGCTTCTTAGGCGTGTCTATACATGTGTATAGCTTCTTTAGGCGTGTCTATACATATGCATAGCTTCTTGAGACGTGTCTACATATGTATGACTTGTTGAGGCATAGTATGCATAGCTTCTTCAGGCCTATCTATTCATGAGATTTTCATAATTTTTTACAAAAACGCGACACGTGTTTCGCCATATGATGGCTTTTTCAGTCGGGTCTATAAATATATATAGCTTCTTCAGACGTGTCTATACATCTGAGTGGCTTCTTCAGGCGTGTGTATACATATGTATAGCTTCTTGAGGCGTGTCTATACATATGTATAGCTTACTGAGGCTTGTCTATATATCTGAAGNCTCGTTAATTATGACCTATCTGCTTTCAATAATCTCTACAGCTTCTTTCCAGAACATTGTTTTGTATCTCTAATAGGAAAGCAGCTATCGTCCTACTACTTATACTTGATACACCCTGTATTTCATTGATATCAGGTATTCACCGGGTATATTCGGAAATTCTGATAATTTTCCCTTATCAGGTGGATCTCTCAGTATTATATCCATTGGGTAGACTCGTAATATATTTAAAATAAGGCAATAAAAGTTCTCTGATATCTGAAAGATAAAACCATCGCAGGTGTTTTTGGGAAAGGTGTTAAGTACATCTTATCAACTCTAATTGCTTTTCACAAGGTGTTCAAAGAAATGTTGATAAATTGCCGTAATCGGTTTGAACTTTCTTCACATTTCTGAAATTTTTGCTACATTTGTGATATCGAACAATCTAATTATTATTCAAATAAAACACATTATGATTTGCCAATTGATGGAGAAATTAGTAAATTTCTACAGTACTGTAAAACAAACTGTGTTTTTACCATTCAGAAGTTACTTAGGGCAAGACAACAACAATTTAATTTCCCAAAAAACTACATTCATAAACATACAAAATTTAGTTGGAAATGACAAAATTCTATCGTTAGGGAAATAAGTTTCATTATTTTTTTTTTTTGGTCATACGAAGGTTTACAAGAACATCATATTGAAACTGAGTAACATTCTAAAAAAAATATACATTTTATTTTCCATTTATTTACTTCATAGTATAATCTATTGAAGAGGGTTGTCAAAACGCATTCAGATAATAGTAAACTTTAGTCTGTAAAAGTTTTCTCAACATTTTATCTCCCATTTTGTGAAATTTCGTTTTTTTTATATAGCTATGCCTACTTTGAATATGTACATATCGGCCAGTGTAAATATTTTCAGGTCAAGAATAAAGAATATTCGATGCAACAATGTACTTGTACTTGTTTACTTTGAGGAAATTCATGATCACTCCAATGAATGAAACTAATTTCCANTTTCGTGTTTTACCCCATCATAAATTATATTTTATAAGACAATCATGTAATAAGACTTCCAAATTACAAATCATGAAATTATAAAACAACAACAAAAAATAATTGGCGCTCCGGGACGACTTCATTGATTCCAGTGGCGCATTTGCTTTTTCAGCTGCAGGAAAACCCAGAAAAACCTGCAGTATAAGTATAAAGTATACTTCATAATGGGGTAAAACCCAAAACCGGTCGTCAAATTACGACCAGTTTAGTGTTCTACCCTATTATAAAGTATAAAGGATGTTTTATAAGTATAAAGTATACTTTATAATGGGATAACCGGTCGTAATTTTACGACCGGTTTCAGATTTTTACCTTGATCAAGCGTGAAGTATGTTTTATAAGTAAAATTACGACAGGTTTCGTGGTTTACCCCATCATCAAGTATAAAGTATACTTTACCATGGGTTGTAACCCGAAACCCGTCGTAAAAATGAAATAACTAGTGGAAATGAGACAAAAGTGTTAACTCTCTCGACCTTCTGTAGATAGCTTGTACTAGTTGTAAACATTTTTCTGACTCGGAGTACAATCACCGTATGGCACTGTCAACATTTCCACAACTTATTTTCCGAACAGACATCTTATGAATAATGTACAGTGTTAAAATGACTGAAAATTAGTAATAAGAAATTGAACTGTGTTTGAATGGTTTACAATTCTCTCACGTGAAGTGACTACAGATTTGAGAAACGTCACTTTGTATTATTAAGAAAGAGAAAAGAATTGTCAGTTTAAGGTCGTTATTGAAGAAATTCGTTCGAACAGTGATGAACCTTTGCAATGGGTAGCCCGGATTTTATAGCGTACTAAAACACTTATTTTTTTACCTCGTTAATTATGACCTATCTGGATTTCTGCCTCTTCTCTCATTACCATGCTGAGGCTTAACGAGAGAGTTAAATCTTTGGAATAAATACACGTGGTCGAATGCTTATTGCCTTTTTAGTGCTGCACTAAACGAAAATTACCAACGAGGAGTTCATATCTCATAATTTTGATACTGGAAAGTGAATTCATTACAAAACGAGTTACAGAATTATTTTGAGATTGATATCTTTAATTGTGTTGATGAAACAATGTAAACCTTAACTGCATGCCCAGAAATGTAAATGTAATGTAATGAATCATTGTTAGTTTATTGTATAAGTTTGAAAATGTCCATATAGGACGAAACAGCAGTAACGTGGTAATTAACAAATAAAAGTGGTAAAAAACAGAAATTTTCAATTCTCTTTTCAAAACATTGTTGGAATTGAATTTCATATTGAGATCTTCAAAATATCAACAGGTGCACGAGGATTAAATCGAATACTACCCTTTTCCGAATATTTCAGAGGTCTGCCACTGGGCCCTACCCAGCAACATCCATCACCGGCAGTCGCCGGGTTTGGAGAAGACAAGAGAGCAACATACCTGGCCTTCCACTGTGACAGGTCCGCTTCTCTGTTTTAATTTATAACCCAGACAGACCCCTTGTTACCCAAAAAAGAAATATTAATAATTCTCGATAATTTATACCTTGCTGCGTCCATGTTTATTTACCCAACACAGGCTAATTGCCTGCTACACAAAATTAAATATTTAATGGACACTTTAATCCCATACTAGATGGGAAGGTTTACTTAGGCTGGTTTCGTGGAGTATTTACTTTCTATTTTTTTTTGAGTAATTATATCTCCGGTACCTTGGTTCAGTCTGAATCAACAGCAACAAATTGGTTCGTGCAGCACAATTGGGGTTATGTTTGTTTAACGGAATGAAAATATTGATAATCGAGATTAGAAGTACTATGTTATTTATTAGGAAAATAAACATATAAAAATTGAACAAAGCAACTATTACAACAACTGTTCAAAGTGACAGTAATACAAGCTTCTGCTATCCTCATCAAAGAATTCCGCATCCGTTGAAAAATGCCTGAGTGTTTCTTATCGTTTCGAAGCAAGCTATGACGCGATCCCTCAACATTTCCTCGTTAACAATGGGGCTAGCATAAACTAGTGATTTTAGGTGTCCCAAAAAGAAAAAATCGACGGGATTGAGGTCCGGTGACCTCGGGGGCCAATGCTCAGTGCCTCCATTGTTGGGGATATGCTACGTCTAAAAAATGAGCAGGAGCTCCATCGTGCATAAACCAAGAGTGATTTCGGGGATCAATGGGAGCATCTTACATAAGTTGGGGAAGCTCGTGTTCCAAAAAATGTAGGTGAGCATCTCCTTTCAAACGTAAGGGGAGAAAATAGGTCCCAATTAAATAATCCCCAATTATGCCTACCCATACATTAAAAGAGAATCTGTCTTGGAAATGAGTTTGCGTTATCGCATGTGGGTTATTTTCCGCCAAGATGTGGTTGTTATGGAAGTTCATGATACCATTTCTTGAAAAATTAGCCTCATCTGTGAAGAGGATTTTCGATAAAATTTGCGGATGTTGTTCGACTTTTCTTTGAGCCATTGAGCAAATTCGATACGTGGTTGGAAATCACGTTACAATGTCATTTAAATATATGTGGAATAACAATGGCCCCAAAATAGAACCTTGGGGTACACCTATATTATTTTGCATTTTATCAGAATAAACTTCCTCTAGTTTCAACCTTTGTTGTCTATTGCTCAGATAATTCATGATCCAGTTTAGTGCCATTCCATCAATACTTATGCTTTCAATCTTTCTAATCAGTCTGCA